CAAAAGGGATGGAAGGAAAGAAGGATGAAAGGGTGGAAGGAAAAGATGGATGGAAGGAAGGAAGGAAGGAAGGAAGGAAAAAGGGAAGGAAGGAAGGGCAAAAGGGTGGAAGGAAGGAGGGAGGAGAGAGGAAGGAGGGAGGGAGAAAAGGGGAAGGAAAGACAAAAGGGGAGAAGGAAGAAGGAGGAAGGAAGGAAAAGATGAGAAGGGAAGGAGGAAAGAAAAAAGAAGGAAAGAAGGACAAAAGGAGGAAGAGATTGGAGGGAGAGGGAAGGAGGGAGGAAAGAGGGAAGGAAGGAAAGATATAAAGGGATGAAGGAGAAAGGGAGAAAGAGAAGGAGGGAGGAAAGAGAGAAGGAAGGAAAGGGGGAAGGAAGGAAGGACGAAAGGGTGGAATGGAAGGAGAAAGAGGGAGGGAAGGAGGAAGGAAAGAGAGAAGGTAGGAAGGAAAGATAGGATGGTGAGAGGAGGACATGAAAAAAGAGCCCAAGGGCCTGGGTTTGCTCATACCTGTTCTAAAAGATAAGATATATAATACAAAATTTGAGATGGTCCATTCTATCTATTTGGGACTGTATTTCCAGCAAGGAAGGGGCATTGGGGAGCTTAATGCAAACCTACTTTGGGGCTTAATTGTTAAGAGAAACTGTGGTCAAGAAATGAAGGCAAGGAAAGGCAGAAGACAATGATCCTAAAGTCTAAAGGTGTATCATTGCATGTTAACAATAAGATAGTCCATGCAGGGAACGGGGTCTTTGGGAAACCTTGTTGTGAGTTGAATGTGGTTTAAGTGGGGAAATCAGTCAACGCTGGCTGCTCAGTTCTGCAGAAAGGCCTTACAAAGGCCGGCGACATTGGGAAGGTTGATGATGTTATTATTATTTTTTTGTGGGGGGGAGTAGTTTTTAAATATAATGTGCAATGTGTGAGTTAAGTGGAAAGTTAAGAGGGAAGCGCCAAGCCAAATTGGTAGGTTTGGTGAAGAAATCTATTCCGAAGAACAAGGGAAGGGAATGCACTTATATGCAAATGCAATAATATCAAGCACATAGGCAAATATGAGTAATAAATAAATACACATTTTGCCATTCCTGGAAGCAACGCCCTGACAGTAGATTGCTGTGTGCAAATAAGCATCTTGAAGATCAAGTCTTGGAATAAGGGAAATATGGAAAGTGGGTAACAAATGACTAATGACTAATAATAATAATAATAGTACAGCCAGCGGAGTGTCTGCTGTGGACTCATCTTGTCGTGTTTCAAATAATAATAATTATTTGGGGTACGGTGTCATCTGTACGCGGATGATGTCCAACTCTGTCACTCCTTTCCACCTGCTACTAAGGAGGCTGTCCAGGTCCTGAACCGGTGCCTGGCCGCTGTGACGGTCTGGATGAGGGCGAACAAATTGAAATTGAATCCAGACAAGACAGAGGTACTCCTGGTCAGTCGCAAGGCCGAACAGGGCATAGGGTTACAGCCTGTGCTGGATGGGGTTGCACTCCCCTTGAAGGCGCAGGTTTGCAGCTTGGGTGTGATCCTGGATTCATCGCTGAGCCTGGAGCCCCAGGTCTCGGCGGTGACCAGGGGAGCATTTGCACAGCTTAGGCTCGTGCGCCAGCTGCGCCCGTACCTTGGGAAGTCTGACTTGGCCACGGTAGTCCACGTTCTGGTTACATCCTGCTTAGACTACTGCAACGCTCTCTACGTGGGGTTGCCTTTGAAGACGGCCCGGAAGCTCCATCTAGTCCAACGCGCGGCAGCTATGATACTAACAGGAGCGGGACGCAGGGAGCATACAACTCCCCTGCTGTACCAGCTCCACTGGCTGCCCATCTGCTACCGGGCTCAATTCAAGGTGCTGGCATTGGCCTATAAAGCCCTAAACGATTCCGGCCCAAGATACCTAACTGACCGCCTCTCGGCCTATGAGCCCACGAGGACTTTGAGATCTTCCGGGGAGGCCCTGCTCTCGATCCCGCCTGCGTCACAGGCACGGCTGGCGGGGACGAGAGATAGGGCCTTCTCGGTGGTGGCTCCTCGGCTGTGGAACACCCTTCCCGTGGACATCAGGCTAGCCCCCTCCCTGTTGATATTCCGCAGGAAGTTAAAGACCTGGCTATTTAAGAAGGCATTTGACCAAGAAGTGCAATGACTGGTAATTTGACCATAGGAATGGAACAACGGAAATGATATCGGATTGTGGGTTGACGATGAGACGATTCGGAATGTAGTAGAAATTTTGTAGTAATGTTGATGTTTTGATAAGATGTTTTTCTGATAATGATGAATTGTGGATTTTTTGCACTATGTTTTGTAATTTGCACTTGTTTTTTCATGTTGTACACCGCAATGAGTCGCCCTTGGGTTGAGAATTGTGGTATATAAGCACAGTAAATAAAAAAATATAATAATAATAATAATAATAATAATAATAATAATAATAAGCTGACACGATATGAGGATTTAAAGATCAAACTGCAAAGACTCTGGCACAAGCCAGTCAAGGGGGTCCCAGTGGTGATTGGCACACTGGGTGCAGTGCCTAAAGACCTTGGCCTGCACTTAAACACAATTGGCGCTGAAAAAAATACCATCTGCCAGCTGCAGAAGGCCACCTTACTGGGATCTGAACACATTATTCACCAATTCATCACACAGTCCTAGACATTTGGGAAGTGTCCGAGGTGTGATCTAATTCAACAGCCATCAGAGTGTCTGCTGTGGACTCATCTTGTTGTGTTTCAAATAATAATAATAATAATAATAATAATAATAATAATAATAATAATAGATTCAACTACGGAAGCAAAGAAGAAGGCTGCATTCCATATGGAGGGACTCAATTATGCCAGCCAGGTGTATCCGACCAGGTTATTTTTTGTGAGCGACAATTTGGGTGCCGATCCTCCCTCTTTTCTCGAAATGACAGACGAGCAATAGAAGGATTTCCTTGAGCAAACGTTGACATTGATTACTCGTCTTTGGCAGGTGTTTGCTTTGGTGTAACCAAATATCGACCTGCCAGGGCTTCTTTGCAACTATGATTTTGTTTCGCACACCCCCTCCCCTGCCCTCAGCTTGTGTGTGCTTTTGCCTTAGTCATGACAATTCAGCGGGAAAAGAAAAGATGAGAATTACTCTTTTACTGGCCCAGCTTCCTTATTTGGCTGCGCAACGGTTGCAGGGAGAGAGGAATCGATTCTCGGAAAGGGGTGAATTACACAACAGAGGCAAAACAGAGGCACCTTTCAACGTGATTTATGGCTTGGGTGGCTCAGGAGTGACCCACATCCATGGTGTGAAATCTCACAAAGCCTTTGGTTGATGGACACATAGATGGGCAATCTAGTCCACCTCCTGCCATGCAGGAAAAGCACCATCAAAGCTTGACCACAGAAACCCATTGGTTGTCCTTAGTTGTCCCCGGTGGCACAATGGGTTAAACCCTTATGCTGGCAGGACTGCTGACCGAAAGGTTGGTGGTTCAAATCCAGGGAGCAGGGTGAGCTCCCGTCTGTCAGCTTCAGCTTGTCATGTGGGGACATGAGAGAAGCCTCCCACAAGATATAAAACATCCAGGTGTCCCCTGGACAATCTCTTTGCAGACAGCCAATTCTCTCACACTAGAAGCAACTTGCTGTTTCTTAAGTCTCTCCTGACGTGGAAAAATAAACTGTAGTTGATGGAGATCTGGGTTCAAAAGCCAATGATTGACTGAGACTAGGGTTTGAATCTCCACTTGACCATAGAAACCCAGGTGCTGGTCAACAACCGTCATATATAGGTTGACTTTAGTTGATAGAGATTGGTGTTCGATTCTTGCTTGACCATAGAACCAAATGGTTGATCTTGGTTGATGGAGGCATTCTCCCCTTGATCATAAAAACTCAATGGCTGACCTTAGTTGATGGAGAACAGGGTTCAAATCTTCACTTGATCATAGAAACACATTGGTTGACCTTGGTTGATGGAGATCTAGGTTTGACCCTCACTTGATGATATGAACCCAATGGTTGACCTTGGTTGATGAAGACCAGGGTTCAAATTCCAATTTAGCCATAGATAAATTGGAATTGATTGACCTTAGTTGATGGGGATCTGGGTTCAAATCCCACTTGACAATGGAAACCCATTGGTTGACCTTGGTTGATGGAGATCCGGGTTCAATTCCTGCTTGACTATCAAAACCATTGGTTAATCTTGGCTAATGGAGATCTGGGTTCAAATCTTCACTTGATCATAGAAACCCAATAGTTGACAATGGTTGGAGACCAGGGTTCAAATCCCCATATAGCTATGGAAACCCTTTGGTTGACCTTGATTGATGGAGATCTGGGTTTGTATGTCCACTTGACTATAGAAAGCCATGGCTGACCTTGGTTGATGGAGATCTGGGCTTGAATATTTACTTGATCACAGAAACTCAATGGTTGACCTTGGCTGACAGAGACCAAGGTTCATATCCCCATTTAGCCATAGAAACCTATTGGCTGACCTTAGTTGATAGAGACTAGGGTTCAAATCCCACTTGACTATAGAAACCCATTGGCTGATCGTGATTGATGGAGATCTGGGTTTGAGTCTTTGCTTGACCATAGAAACCCAATGGTTGACCTTGGTTGATGGAGATCTGGGTTTGGATCTTCACTTGACTATAGAAACTCTTTGGTTGATCTTGGTTGATGGAGATCTGGGTTTGAATATTTATTTGATGATAGAAACTCAATGGTTGACCTTAACCGACGGAAAGCAATGTTCATATCACCATTTAGCCATGAAAACTCATTGGTTGACTTTACTTGGTGGAGACCACTTGATTATAGAAACCAATGTGTTGATCCTGGTTGATGGAGATCCGTGTTCAAATCTTGCTTGACTATCAAAACCATTGGTTGATCTTGGCTAATGGAGATCTGGGTTCAAATCTTCACTTGATCATAGAAACCCAATAGTTGACGATAGTTGATGGAGACCAGGGTTCAAATCCCCATGTAGCCATGGAAACCCTTTGGTTGACCTTGGCTGATGAAGATCTGGGTTCGTATCTCCACTTGATTGTGGAAAACCATGGTTGACCTTGGTTGATGGAGATCTGGGTTTGAGTCTTTGCTTGACCATAGAAACCCGATGGTTGACCTAGGTTGATGGAGATCTGGGTTTGAGTCTTTGCTTGACCATAGAAACCCGATGGGTGACCTGGGTTGATGGAGATCTGGGTTTGAGTCTTTGCTTGACCATAGAAACCCAATGGTTGACCTTGGTTGACAGAGATCTGGGTTTGAGTCTTTGCTTGACCATAAAAACCTAATGGTTGACCTTGGTTGATGGAGATCTGGGTTTGAGTCTTTGCTTGACCATCGAAACCCAATGGTTGACCTTGGTTGACAGAGATCTGGGTTTGAATATTTACTTGATCATAGAAACCCAGTAGTTGACCTTAGCTGATGAAGATTTGGGTTTGAATCTCACTGGACTATGGAAAACCATTGGTTAATGGAGACCAAGGTTCAAATCCCCATTTAGCCATGGGTCATTGATGGAGACCCAGATTCTGAATCCTGACTTGGTTATGGAAACCCATTGTTTGACCTTGTTAGATGGAGACCTGGCTCCGAATCCCCATTAGCTATGGAAACTCAACCCTGGTGGATGGAGACCTGGGTTCAAATTTTGACTTGGTCATGGACATCCGTTGGCTGTCTTAGATGAGTCACACTCTCTCAGCCTTGGATGAAGCCAATAGAGGCAGAATCTGTCTCTCAGGAAAGGAAGCTTTTCCAAACCCAAGAAGGAGAGTTTTTTTTCCCCCTTTGAGTGCCTAACAAAAGCGACCTTTCAGCCCCAAAGAAACAAGGAAATCAGTCTCTCTGAATCCAGCCAGCAAATATTTCCCCTTTGGATCATGCCATCTTGAAGCTTGTTTCCTGATTTTTGAAGTCGTCGGTCCCATCCAAGCCTATGTTTGCCTTTCGCTGAGGCTATAAAAGCCCTTTGCCAGTGGGGCAAACTCCACCAAAGCCCTGGAGAGGAATCAGCGGAGGTGAGATTGGCATCAGTGACTTAGTGATTGGCATTCATACCTAAATACTAAGGGGAAACATATTGATTCCTAATTGCAATGCATGTTGCAATGCAAGAACGGGTGCAAGCTGAAATTATCCTGGCTCAAGCCGATGTCATCCTGGGAGTTGTGGTTGCCCAAGGTTCCCCAAACTACAACTCCCAGAACTCCAAATTAGGGGTGCACCTTGACATAGAAGCTTTTCGGAACATCACTTTGGCCCCAAATTTTGCAATGTTGTTCTTGCTTCCTTTGCAGAGATGAAGGGAAGCCTTGTGGTGTTGTGTCTCTTGGTAGCTTTTGCAGACCGGATAGCGTCCGAATCTCCCTCTGAAGGTAACGGATCCACTTTGTCCCTCTGGTATCATACATTGACTATGAGTTATGCCAATCTTATGGATTAGAGGTGGGGTGGCCATCTGTCGGGAAGACTTCGGTTGTGTCTTTCTGCTTGGCAGAATGGGGTTGGACTAGATGGCCTTCGAAGATCCCTTCCAAGGGTAAATTGTGGGTAAATGCCCTAAAATGTAAGCCATTTTCCTTCTAATTCTACCAAGTTAAGGCTTTTAACTTGGGAAGTTACTTTTTGGGGCAATGTAAGGCTATATGGCCTAAAACATAAGTAAATTTTCTTTGCAATTCGTGGAGAAGGAGGCTTTTGGGAAATATTATTATTATTATTATTATTATTATTATTATTATTGGTACTTCCATAGTAATGCACTTAATATATAAATGTTTTCCTTCTGATTCAATGAGAATTTATTTATTATTTATTTTATTTATTTCCTATATTTATACCCTGCCCTTCTCTACTTTAAAAGATATTTTCCTTCCAAAACTTTGCATGAGTTGAGCAATCTTACCAGTTGCCCCAATCTCAATCCGTGTCTGGGCTTTAGTCCAAACTTTAAAGCAGCGTTTCTCAACCTTGGGGTCGGGACCTCTGAGTGGGTCACGAGGGAGTGTCAAAAGAGTTGCCAAAGACCATCAGAAAACATAGTATTTTCTGTTGGTCATGGGGGTCATGTGTGGGAAGTTTGGCCCAATTCCATCATTAGTGGGGTTCAGAATGCTCTTTGATTGTAGGTGAACTATAAATCCCAGCAACTACAACTCCCAAATTTCAAGGTCTATTTCCCCCAAACTCCACCAGTGCTCACATTTGAGCATATTGAGTATTCATGTCAAGTTTGGTCCAGATCCATCATTGTTTGAGTCCACAGTGGTCTCTGGATGTAGGTGAACTACAACTCCAAACTCAAGGTCAATGCCCACCAAACCCTTCCAGTATTTTCTGTTGGTCAGGGGGTTCTGTGTGCCAAGTTTGGCCCAATTCTATCATTGGTGGAGTTCAGAATACTCTTTGATTGTAGGTGAACTATAAATGCCAGCAACTACAACTCCCAAATGTCAAGATTCTATTTTCCCCAAACTCCACCAGTGTTCACATTTGGGCATATTGAGTATTTATGCCAAGTTTGGTCCAGATCCATCATTGTTTGAGTCCACAGTTCTCTGGATGTAGGTGAACTACAACTCCAAAACTCAAGGTCAATCCCCACCAAACCCTTCCAGTATTTTCTGTTGGTCATAGGAGTTCTATGTGCCAAATTCCAATGTTGGTGGAGTTCAGAATGCTCTTTGATTGTAGGTGAACTATAAATCCCAGCAACTACAACTCCCAAGTGAGAAAATCAATTCCTTCCTAACCCCACCAGTATTCAAATTTGGGCGTATTGGGTATTTGTGCCAAATTTGTTCCAGTGAATGAAAAGACAACCTGCATATCGGATATTGAGATTACGATTCATAACAGTGGCAAAATAACAGTTACAAAATAGAAACGAAAATAATGTTATGGTTGGGGGTCGCCACAACATGAGGAATTGTATGAAGGTTGAGAAACACTGCATTAGGAGCAAAAAAAACCCAAACCCTTCCCTACACAATCCAAAGCTCTCACATAAGAGCCGACTTAGATACTGTCATTGGAGCAGAGGCCAGCAATGAGGTGTCCAGCAACTCTGTGAGTGGGATTACACAGGAACAAAACACTGAAATTTCTAGTGCAAATTCTAGTGGACATTTTGCAGGCTTCGAAAGTGAGCAAAATGTCAGTTATGAAATAGCAACGAAAATAATGTTATGGTTGGGGGTCACCACAACGTAAGGAATTAAAGGGTTCCGGAATTAGGAAGGTTGGGAATATCGTGGAGGAATTTGGGAATATCTTTGCTTTTCTCTCTTTAGGAGATGATCCCGCCAACCAACTCACTGGCCAAGAGCTTTTGAGCAGCCTCGACGAAGCCAAAAAGATGGTGGATGAGGCATATAAACTCTCGAGGGAGAGGTGAGCTTGTTTTGCATGAAGGGTTGGACTAGATGGCCTTTAGGAGCCCCTTCCAACACTGTAAGTTCAGGATGCAGCTGGGAGTGCAGTAGGAGAAATGAAGTATCATATAGGTAAAGAGGCATTGCTGGGATATCTGGCTACTCTAAAGGTAAATAATGCTTATATTGGAGATAATGAAGTAGCGGAAATGTAGCACAGAATAGATAAAGAGACAGTATGGGAATATCTGGCTACTCCAAATGGATTCGAGTCTCTTAAGTACTTAGGAAGAATAGCGTACTCGCCGGAAAAGTCTCAAAAGTTCTTACTTTTTTCCCCATGTCAGGAACGACTTGAGAAACTGCAAGTTGCTTCTGGTGTGAGAGAATTGGCTGTCTGCAGGGACGTTGCCCAGGATGTTTTACCATTCTGTGGGAGCTTCTCTCATGTCCCCACAAGGGTAAACCCTTGTGCTGGACTGCTGACCAAAAGGTTGGCAGTTTGAATCTGGAGCAGGGTGAGCTCCCATCTTTCAGCTCCAGCTTCTCATTGGGGACATGAGGAGCCTCCCACAGAATGGTAAAACACCCTGGGCAACGTCCCTGCAAACAGGGAAGCCCCTAAAGGTCTTACTCTTCGTTTACCAAGCTTGTAACTCTATCCGAAAAAGAGATACGATTAGAGTTACAAGCTTATTAAATGAAGAGTAAGACCTTTAGGAGCTCCCCTGTCTGCAGAGACGTTGCCCAGTATGTTTTACCATTCTGTAGGAGGCTTCTCTCATGTCCCCACAATGGGTTAAATCCATCTGCTGGCAAAACTGCTGACCAAAAGGTCAGCGGTTCGAATCAGGGGAGCAGGGTGAGCTCCCGTCTGTCAGCTCCAGCTTCTCATGCGGAGACATGAGAGAAGCCTCCCACAGAATGGTAAAACATCCTGTGCCCCCTGGGCAATGTCCTTGCAGATGGCAATTCTCTCACACCAGAAGGCTGTATTTACCAAACTTGTAACTCTATCCGAAAAAGAGTTTCGATAGAGTTACAAGCTTGGTAAATGAAGAGTAAGACCTTTAGGAGCTCCCCTGTCTGCAGGGACGTTGCCCAGGATGTTTTACCATTCTGTGGGAGGCTTCTCTCATGTCCCCGCAATGGGTTAAACCCATGTGGCGAAACTGTTGACCAAAAGGTCGGTGGTTCCAATCCAGGGAGCGGGATGAGTTCCCTCCCGTCTGTCAGCTCCAGCTTCTCATGCGGGGACACGAGAGAAGCCTCCCACAGAAGGGTAAAACATCCTGGGCAACGTCCCTGCAGACAGCCAATTCTCTTACACCAAAAGCGACTTGCGGTTTCTCAAGTCGTTCCTGACACGGAAAAAAAAAAGTAAGACCTTTGAGTAAGTAAGCTGAGCATGAGCCCAAAAGTGTCCTGCAGCAGAGGAGGGCGAGTCAAATGATCAAGGGTGTGGAGAACAAGCCCTATGAGGAGCGGCTTAAAGAGCCAGGCATGTTTAACCTGAAGAAGAGAAGGCTGAGAGGAGACATGATAGCCATGTATAAATACGTGAGGGGAAGTCCTAGGGAGGAGGGAGCAAGCTGGAGACTAGGACGCAATGGAACAATGGCTTCAAACTACAAGAAAGGAGATTCCATCTGAACATTAGGAATAACTTCCTGACTGTGAGAGCCGTTCAGCAGTGGAACTCTCTGCCCCGGAGTGTGGTGGAGGCTCCTTCTTTGGAAGCTTTTAAACAGAGGCTGGATGGCCATCTGTTGGGGGTGCTTTGAATGCAATTTTCCTGCTTCTTGGCAGGAGGTTGGACTGGATGGCCCATGAGGTCTCTTCCAACTCTATGATTCTATCTGACATGGTTAACAATGACTCAGATATGCAGATGACCCCAAATTGGGAGGCATCGAGGAACAGGATCACGATCCGAAATGACCTTAGAGCGCCGAGCCAAGACCAACAAAATGAATGTCAACAGGGAGATGCATAAGGCGGAAAGAAACGAGATGCACAGATTACAGGACGGTGACACCCAGCTTGGAAAACAGTCCGTGTAAAGGAGTCTTAGGAGACCCAAGCTGAACATGAGTGGGAGAAAGAACCTTTGTCTGTTTGAAGCAAAGTGTGGGTGTTGCAGTTAGCAAGCTTGAATAGTATTGAGTAGCCATGAAGTTTGCAAAGTCAATCATTGAGGGTCTCAGCATAGAGGTAGTGAAGGTGTATATATCCCAGTGGAATAATGTCCAGGGTGGGAGAAAGAACCCTCCTCTGTGTGATGCAAGTGTGGATTTTGCAATGAGCAAGCTTGAATAGCATTGAGTAGCCATGAAGTTTGCAAAGTCAGTCAGTGAGGGTCTCAGCATAGAGGTAGTGAAGCAAGTGAGGTGTATATATCCCAGTGGAATAATGTCCAGGGTGAGAGAAAGAACCTTTGTCTGTTTGAAGCAAGTGTGGGTGTTGCAATGAGTAAGCTTGAATAGTATTGAGCAGTCATGATGCTGCAAAGTCAGTCAGTGAGGGTCTCAGCATAGAGGTAGTGAAGCAAGTGAGGTGTATATATCCCAGTGGAATAATGTCCAGGGTGGGAGAAAGAACCTTTGTCTTTTTGAAGCAAGTGTGAATGCTGCAATGAGCAAGCTTTAATAGCATTGAGTATCCTTAAAGCTGCAAAGTCAATCAGTGAGGGCCCCTGCATAGAGGTAATGAAGCAAGTAGAGTGTATATATCCCTGTGGAATGTTGTTCAGGATGTCCATTGTCTGTTTGAAGCAAGTGTGAATGCTGAAATGAGCGAGTTTGAATAGCACTGAGTATCCTTGAAGCTGCAAAGTCAATCAGTGAGAGTATCTGCATAGAGGGGGCCTAGCCTTTGTTATCCCTGTGGAATAATGTCCAGAGTGGGAGAAAGAACCTTAGTTTGAAGCAAATGTGGGTGTTGCAATTGGCAAGCTTGAATAGCATTGAGCAGCCACGAAGCTGCAAAGTCAATCAGTGAGGGTATTTGGTGACCAATATGAATAAACACCAGAATTAAAACAGTAAATAAAGAACATAATTCAGAAACGGGAACTCCAGACAGCAGACAATGAAGTGCCAGAGAACATCTCCAGGCAACAAAGGCCAGGCTACTTCTATGCAGACACCCTCACTGATTGACTTTGCAGCTTCATGGCTACTCAATGCCATTCAAGCCTGCTCATTGCAACATCCACACTTGCTTCAAACAGACAAGGGTTCTTTCTCCCATCCTGGATATCATTCCACAGATAGATAGATAGATAGATAGATAGATAGATAGATAGATAGATAGATTCCACTTGCTTCACTATCTCATATGCAGATTCCCTTGCTGATTGACTTTGCAAACTTCATGGCTATTCAATGCTATTCAAGCTTGCTCATTGCAACATCCACACAGAAATGGTTCTTTCTCCCACCCTGGACATTATCCATAGGTAAATATATACAATCCACTTGCTTCACTACCTCTATGCAGACACCCTCACTGATAGACTTTGCAGCTACATGGCTACTCAATGCAAATCAAGCTAGCTAATTGCAATATTTTCATTTGCTTCAGACAGACAAAGGTTCTTTCTCTCACCCTGGACATCATTCTATAGATATATATACAATCCACTTGCTTCACTACCTCTATGCAGACACCCTCACTGATAGACTTTGCAGCTACATGGCTACTCAATGCAAATCAAGCTAGCTAATTGCAATATTTTCATTTGCTTCAGACAGACAAAGGTTCTTTCTCTCACCCTGGACATCATTCTATAGATATATATACAATCCACTTGCTTCACTACCTCTATGCAGACACCCTCACTGATAGACTTTGCAGCTACATGGCTACTCAATGCAAATCAAGCTAGCTAATTGCAATATTTTCATTTGCTTCAGACAGACAAAGGTTCTTTCTCTCACCCTGGACATCATTCTATAGATATATATACAATCCACTTGCTTCACTACCTCTATGCAGACACCCTCACTGATAGACTTTGCAGCTACATGGCTACTCAATGCAATCAAGCTAGCTAATTGCAATATCTGCATTTGCTTCAGACAGACAAGGGTTCTTTCTCCCACCCTGGACATTACTCCATAGATAAATATATACTCCACTTGCTTCACTGCCTCTATGAAGACACCCTCACTGACTGACTTTGCAGCTTCATGGCTACTCAATGCAAATCAAGCTAGCTAATTGCAATATCCGCACTTGCTTTAGACAGACAAGGGTTCTTTCTCACACCCTGGATATCATTCCACAAATATATATACAATATACTTGGTTCACTACCTCAATGCAGACACCCTCACTGATTGACTTTGTAGACTTCATGGCTACTCAATGCTAATCAAGCTAGCTAATTGCAACATCCACACTTGCTTCATAGAGACAAGGGTCCTTTCTCCCACCCTGGACATTACTCCACATACCGTATATATTTACACCCCACTTACCTCATTTCCAACAGACCTCTGAGGATGCTTGTTTTATTTCTGTTTCTTCTGTTTCTCTCCCATCTTCCCATTGTGGGTGCATCACACGCCATCAGGTCCAGGTCTTTTGCCCATTTGCAGCTCTTTAATGATAACTCTTAATGGTAAAACAATAATAGTCGGATTCTGCTTTGGCCAGATCTCACCTGGAATAATCCTGTGTCCATTTTCTGGGGAAAGCAATCAGGAAGGATATTAAGAAGTCTGGAGGAATGTGACCAAAGAGATTCCAGGGAAACTTTAGGTTCAATAGTACAATATGCTACTTGGGAGTCTGGTGGAGTTTCCTTCTCTTGAGGTGTTGATTCTATCTATAAGATACAAATGGTTAGGACAAGTGTGGTAAACAAAGTCCAGCAAACCCATAAACAGAAGAATTTCCAAGTTAAGTTTGGACTAGCAAAGACAAGCATTCTCTTTTTTCCCCCCCAGATCCAAGGCAGATTTGGACAAAACCCATGTCACTCCTGCGGATTTCCTGAAACACCTAAAAGAGCCGATGGCCGCGACCCGGACGGCCCTTCGAGCCGCCAGTTATTTGGACACCTCTTTGGACCTCCTGAAGAAGAAGCTCCAGAAGAAATGGATGAGGCCCTTCAACCTCACCGGTAGCCTTACGTTTCCGGATTGAGTCCGAACTTGAGCTGTCAACGGGGGTGGGTGGGGTTGTATGTCCGTTCCGAGCTCTAGTTCGAACTTTAAAGAAGAATCCCATAGAGATGGACCTAAAGTTTCTTTCATAGGAGAGAGTCCAAACTTGAGCTGTCAATGGGGGTGGGTGGGGTCCTGTGTCCGTTCCAAGCTCTAGTCCAAACTTTAAAGAAGAATCCCATAGAGATGGACCTAAAGTTTCTTTCATAGGAGAGAGTCCAAATTATAGGCATCCCCTTTAAAGTTCAGACTACAACCTGGAACGGATTCACCACCACCATTACTAACCCAGAAGACCTACCATGGCTAATATACTACTACTAATAACAATACTGGAGTGATGTGTGGTTTCTGGACTGTATGGTCAATGTGTCCTAGTAGCATTTTCTCCTGACATTTCACCTGGTATCTAATAACAATATTAATAATTACTATTATGAATACTAATAATAACAGGCACAATATATACTTATATAAATACTGATCTGAGTTTGGATTATTTTTCTGGACTTTAGACTCTATTTTTTGCAAAAGTTCCTTTCTCCAAAAGGAGAGGGAGGTGTTAATTTCGGATGGATTTCTCTCATTTAGATGTCCTGACGAGGAAGCAGAAGGAGACCATTTCCAAAGTGACTGGCTGTGACTACGTGACCCGTCCTATCACTTGTCCGCAGAATAACCCCTACCGGACCATCACCGGAGAATGCAACAACCTGTACGATAATTATCTATATAAGAGTGTGTGTGTGTGTGTGTGTGTGTGTGTGTATATATATATATAATATCTATTTAATTATTACCACAATGGCTACTGTACTACAAAGAGTGTCTATGGTGGGAGAACGAGAATAGATAGAGGAGAATGACAAGAATATTTGGCTATACAAACGGATCCAAGTCTTTAAAGTCCAGATAATAGGACAGGATGCAGTGGGCAAAGTGAAGCATCGTATAAGTAAAGAGTCTGCACAGGAATATCTGGCTACTCCAAAGGTAAATAGTATTTATATGGGGGATGATGAAGTAGTGGAAACGTAGTACAGAATAGGTAAAGGAGCAGGGCAGGTAGAAAATAGAAAAATACTGCATTAGATAGCAATGCATGTGGAAAAATACAGTTCTAATGAACATGTGCTCATAGCATAGTCCACTGAAGGGTTAAAACTAATGGAGATGTGATCGTCGCTGAGCCATTTCCTGGGATCACTGGAGGGTTAAGTGGAAATGGCAAATATGTGAACTTCCTCTTTACCATTTTTAGATAGCTTGCCATAATCTCTCTGCATCTGTAATCCATCACCATCCTTGTCGTGTGAGTGTCTTGCTATGGTTGCGAGTATCTCTGTATACTGATAGCAGACCTGTAGATAGTTGTATGTAGCAATGACTGAAGACTAAAACTCCAAAGAGGTTTAGATGAAAGTCAGCATTCAAGTGTGCTTATTACAGGCAGTGTGCTACTACACAAAATCAGAAGCTGTGCAATGAAATCTCTGCTAACTGTGACCAAGACTCTGCAACTTACTGCTTGCCTTTGAGAGAGTCTGTCCCATTGTGTAACTGGAGGTCATGAGAGGATTGACTCATATGACTACCTAGCAGGGGAGTTGTGTGTTTTTAGTCGCCACCCCTGTGATAATTCTGGTTATAAGACCCCAAAATTTTCCACTTTTCTCCCCATTCTAGGAAACACCCACATTATGGTGCCTCGAATCGTGGGTACGCCCGCTGGCTCCCGGCTGAGTATGAAGATGGCATCTCCCTCCCAAGGGGCCTCATCCAAGGGCAGCTTTATAAAGGGCATACCCTCCCATTGGTAAGATCTGGAGGACTTCCGAGCCAATGTCTCATGGTTCATTTTGATCCCCAACTCAGGTTCTAGGCTTGAATTCCAGAAGCTTCAGTTGCTTTGGCCAATGATCAGGGATCCTGGAAGACCAGAATTTGGGAAACACTAGGAGGAAAGGTCAAAGGGGACCTCAAAATCCCATGGATCCAGTGGGTCTACTCTGGTAGTTGGATGCAGATTGAAGTGGAGGAGATACCATCTCAACCATAGAGGACCTAGAGATTCCTCAGAAGGATTGTGTCCAGAAATGTCTAGATCCTCCAGCATGACTGACCATAGAGACATGCTGTAGGACCTAGAGATTCCTAGAGAGTTCTTTCTAGGTCTTCCCCCACAACTGGAGGAAGCTGACCACAGTATCAAAATGAAGGACCTGGAAATTAGGCATTTCCAGGTCCTCCATTTTGATACTGTGGTCAGCTTCCTCCAGTTGTGGGGGAAGACCTAGAAAGAACTCTCTAGGAATCTCTAGGTCCTACAGCATGTCTCTATGGTTCTCTGTGTTCTCTCTAGACATATCTAGGTCCTCCAACATAACTGGAGGAAGTTGACCACAGAGTCACAATAGGTCCTACAGCATGTCTCCATGGTTCTCTATGTTCTCTCTAGACATATCTAGGTGCTCCAACATAACTGGAGGAAGTTGACCACAGAGTCACAATAGGTCCTACAGCATGTCTCTATGGTTCTCTGTGTTCTCTCTAGACATATCTAGGTCCTCCAACATAACTGGAGGAAGTTGACCACAGAGTCACAATAGGTCCTACAGCATGTCTCTATGGTTCTCTGTGTTCTCTCTAGACATATCTAGGTCCTCCAACATAACTGGAGGAAGTTGACCACAGAGTCACAATAGGTCCTACAGCATGTCTCTATGGTTCTATGTGTTCTCTCTAGACATATCTAGGTCCTCTAACATAACTGGAGGAAGTTGACCACAGAGTCACAATAGAGAGCTTCTGAGAGAGGAGTCATCTTTAGACATCTCCAGCGTGACCAGAGGATATTGACCATAGAACTACCCTGAAGGATGAAGAAATTTCTAGGGGTCTATCGAAACATCTCTAAGTCCTCCAGCAGCTAGCAGCTGGATTCAGATAGACCTTGAGTAGGCCCCCGCAAGCTGTCTACTCAATGTTGGGAGTCAACAAGAGGCCTCCTCCCTTCCCATTTTGGGATTTCTAGCAATGTTGTTCCTTCCTGTGCAGGTGCGGAGTGTCTCCAATGAGATCATCACCACCTCCAATGAGAACGTCACTGAGGACCAGGAGCGCTCGCTGGCCTTCATGCACTGGGGCCAATGGGTGGACCACGACATGGACCTGGCCCCCATGACTGAGATCGGCATTGACAACAAACAGGTCGAGTGCACAACCGACTGCAATTACGCCCCGCCGTGTTTCCCCATCAAGGTAATGGAGAACCCTAGAGGAACTGACTATAGAATCACACTGGAGGACCTAGAGATGGCTAGAATTATTTCTAGAAGGCTCCAGATCCTCCAGGATGACTCTAGGAGAACCTAGACATGCACATGAGAGTTCTCTCTAGAAATATCTAGGTCTTCCAGCATGATTGGACCACAGAGTCATGCTGGAAGACCTAGAGCAGTGTTTCTCAACCATCCTAGTGCCGCGACCCCTTAATACAGATCCTCATGTTGTGGTGACCCTCAACCATAATATTATTTTCGTTGTTGCTTCATAACAAATTAAACAGTAAATTTGCTACTATTACTGTTCTTTACCCCTGCAACAGTTACATTACAATTATTATTGTAATGTAAATATCCAATATGCAGGATGTATTTCATTCACTGGACCAAATTTGGCACAAATACCCAATACACCCAAATTTGAATACTAGTGGGGTTGGGTGAGGGGTTGATTTTGTTAATTGGGAGTTGTAGTTGCTGGGATTTATAGTTCACCTAAAATCAAAGAGCATTCTGAACTCCACCAACAATGGAATTTAACCAAACTTGGCACACAGAAGTCCCACGACTAACAGAAAATACTGGAAGGGTTTGGTGAGCACTGACCTTGAGTTTGGGAGTTGTAGTTCACCTAGATCCAGAGAGCACTGTGGACTCAAACAATGATGGATCTGGACCTAACTTGGCACAAATATTCAATATGCCCAAATGTGGTGTTTGGGGAAAATAGATCTTGACATTTGGGAGTTGTAGTTGCTGGGATTTATAGTTCACCTACCATCAAAGAGCATTCTGGACCCCATCAATGATAGAATTGGCCCAAACTTCCCACTCAGAACCCCCATGACCAATACAACATACTGTGTTTTCTGATGGTGTTTGGCGACCCCTCTAACACCCCCTCGCGACCCCCTCAGTGGTCCCGACCCCCAGGCTGAGAACCACTGACCTAGAGATTCCAAGAAAAGAGTTATCCCTGGAGATATCTAATTCATCCAGCATGACTAGAAGAAATTGACCATCAAGTCTGTTGCAGGGGTAAAGAACACCCCTGCTAGGTAGGTATGTGAATCAATCCTCCTTAAGCTGTACATGGGACTAAAAGTCTCAAGGCAAACCAGTAGCTCCAATCGAAAAACATATTGCAGAGTCTTGGTCACAGTTAGCAGAGATTTATAGTCCAGCCTCTGACCTTGTTTTGTACCTCACTGCTTTAATATGCACACTTGAGCTCTAGTTTTCATCCAAACTTCTTTGGAGGTTTTGATCCTTCAGTTGTTCCTCTATACACAGCTATTTACAGGTCTGCTATCAGTATATACAGAGATATACTCACAACCATAGCAAAACACCCTGCAGAGTCTTAGTCACAGTTAGCAGAGATTTATAGTCTGGCCTTTGACCTTGTTTTGTAGCTCACCGCTTTAATACGCACACGAACTCTGGTTTTCTTCCAAACTCCTTTGGAGGTTTTGATCCTTCAGTCGTTGCTCTATACACAGCTATTTACAGGTCTGCTGTCAGTATATACGGAAATATACTCACAACCATAGCAAAACACTCTGCAGAGTCTTGGTCACAGTTAGCAGAGATTTATAGTCCAGCTTCTGACTTTGTTTTGTATCTCACTTCTTTAATAAGCACACTTGAGCTCTGGTTTTCATCCAAACTCTTTTGGAGGTTTTTGTACTTCAGTCATTGCTCTATACACAACTATTTACAGGTTTGCTATCAGTATATACAGAGATATACTCACAACCATAGCAAGATGACCATCACAAGACATGTACATGGCAAAATGGCAATGGATCATAGATGCAATGAATCAAAGAGAGCACACACATGAGTGCCACTCCCTTTTATACCTACAGGGACTACAGGAAATGATCCAATTCTTGTCATACCTGTCACATGATCATGACACAGCTGCTCTTCTAGAATCACAACTCCACTTTCTTAACCCTTCAGTGGAATGTTTTGTGAACACATGTACATTAGAATAGTATTTTTCCACACACTGGAGTTACATGCAATGCATTTCTTTCTATGGAGGATCTAGGAATTCCTAGAGAGAACTCTACAAATATCTAGGTCTTCTAGCACACAATATATTGTCCTATGGTTGCAGATCCAACTAAAATGACTAGTGGCCATAAGCACTGACTAGATGTCTTCTAGGTCCCCCCGGGAGACCCCCGGATCAAGAAGTCTGGGGTCTGCATGCCCTTCATCCGGACGGCCCCGGCCTGCAACCCCACAACTTATGTCCGGGAGCAGCTCAACGCCATCACCTCGTACCTGGACGCCAGCATGGTCTACGGCAGCGAGGAGGTCCTGGCACGCAACCTGCGCAACAACAGCAACGATCTGGGCCTCATGGCCCTCAACCAGAACTTCACCGACAACGGACTGGGCCTCCTCCCCTTTGAGAACAAGACCAAGAGCCTCTGCCTATTCACAAATAAAACTGCCAACATCCCATGTTTTAAGGGAGGTATGTCTCCGGGCAGGTTGTTGAGTCTCACAATCATAGAGTCTGACCATCTGGCAGAAGAGCTTGAGAAGAGAAAAAGTAGGCCTTCTCAGAGCTGGGAAATGGAGAAAGTAGCCTTCTCAGAACTTGGGAAGGGAGAAAGAGACCCTCTTAGAGCTGTAGAAGGGAGAAAATTGGCCTTTTCAGAGTTGGGGAAGAGAGAAAGTAAACCTTCTCAGAGCTGGAGAAGGAAGAAAGAGACTCTCAGAGCTGGAGAAAGAAGAAAGATACTCTGAGTTGGAGAAGGGAGAAGTAGACTCTCAGAGCTGGAGAAGGGAGAAATAATTTCAGAGTTGGGGAAGGGAGAAATAGTTCCTCTCATTGCTGCAGAAGGGAGAAAGTATGCCTTCTCAGAGCCGGGGAGAGGAGAAAATAGGCCCCTGAGCTGCAGAAGGGAGAAAGTAGGCTTTCTCAGGGCCAGGGAAGGGCGAAGTAGGCCTTTTCAGAGTTGGGGAAGAGAGAAAGTAAACCTTCTCAGAGCTGAGGAAGGGAGAAAGTGGGCCTTCTCAGAGCTGGGGAAGGAAAGAAGTAGACTTTCTCAGATCTGGGGAAGGGGGAAAGTAGGCATCAGAACTGGAGAAGGGAGAAAATATGCCTTCTCAGAGCTGGGGAAGGGAGAAAGTGGGCAGGCAATGTCCCAACGACATTTGGGCAGCGCCAGCCAGGTATATCTGCTAGTACTCTAGTGCTTGTATAGTGTACATTTTTCTATTTTGTGCTTCCATTTCTATATTCTAGGGGACAAACGGGCCACTGAAAACCTGGGACTGACTGCCATGCATACCTTGTTTGTCCGGGAGCATAACAGGTTGGCCACTGAACTAAAGAAGATGAATCCGCATTGGGATGGAGAGAAACTGTACCAAGAAGCCCGGAAGATTGTTGATGCAGAGAACCAGGTAGCGATCAGATTCAAAGAAATGGCTTCAGTTTTGTGTATACGGTTCTCCAGATGTTTGAGACTGTGGCACGAATTAGGAGTGCTCCTGAATCAGATGCTGGACACCATTTCTTTGTCTGATCACTCTGCAGTTCAACCAAGAATTTGGATTGTAGGACTTACCTTCTCGCGGTTCTATTGCAGGTCATCACCTTCCGAGATTACTTGCCCCTTGTGTTGGGCAATGAGATGAACAGGCAGTTGCCACTCTATACAGGCTACAAGGAATCGGTGGACCCAACTGTGGCGAATGTCTTCTCCTTGGCCTTCCGGTTTGGACATGGCTCCATCCCACCCTTGGTGCCCCGTCTGGATCACAATTTCAAGCCCTTGGCTCCGTACTTCTATGCTCATCTGTCCGGCACCTTTTGCGCTTCATGGAGAATAGTTATGGAAGGTAAATGAGCAGATCTTTGGGTGCAGAGATGTCCACATCTGGACCACAGCTTGCAAGAGGGAGTTGGACATCGAAAATCTAGATTACGCCAGGCAATTGTGACTCTACTGTCTCGAATTATGGAAAGAGCCCTTTCCCTGAGAATCTTTCGGTTCCATAGGTGGCATCGACCCACTTGTCCGTGGTTTCCTGGCTGACCATTCGAAGTTGATGAAGCAGAACCAGATGATGGTGGAGGAGCTTCAGGAACATCTCTTTGAGCAGACAGAACACATCGGCCTCGACTTGGCTGCCTTGAATTTGCAGCGGGGAAGGGACCACGGCTTGCCAGGTAAGCGTTCTCCTTCTCCATCTACCTCCATCTCCTCTATCACCATAACAATTCTTACCTCCACCTTCATCACTATCTCTGCCATCACCACCTTCACCTCCACCATCACCATCTGCACTGTCACCTCCATCTCCATTTCCACCACCTCCATTGCCACCATCTCCATTGCCACCATCACCACCTCCACAATCACAATCACTATCTCCATCTCCATTTCCACCACCTCCATCTCCACCATCTTCATTTCCACAATATCACCTACACCATTACCACCTCCATCTCCACCTCCACTGTCACCATTTCCATCTTCGCCTCCATTTCCATTTCCACCTGTTCCATATCCACCATTACTATTTCCACCATCTCCACCTCCACCATCACCACCTCCATCCCCATTTCCACCACCTCCATTTCCATCACCATCACCACCTCCATCTCCACCTCCACTATCACCACCTCCATTTCCATTTCCACCTGTTCCATCTCCACCATCTCTATTTCCACCATCACCACCTCCACCATCACCATCTCCATCTCCACCTCCACCTCCTTTATTTATTTATTTATTTATTTATTTATTTATTTATTTACAGTATTTATATTCCGCCCTTCTCACCCGCAGGGGACTCAGGGCGGATTACAGTGTACACATATATGGCAAACATTCAATGCCAATTTGACATATAACGTATACAGACATACACAGAGGCTATTTAACTTTTTCTGGCCGCCAGGGGAGCTGTCGCTTTCATCGTCCATCTGCGACACTGATGAAGTACTTCCGCATTCCCCGCATGCTTTTTGCTGGAGTGCTTTGCTGGAGTCTTTTTTATGGCCTCATAGTTAAATAAGCCTCCCCACACATAGTGGTACCTAATTTTCCTACTTGACAGATGCAACTGTCTTTCGGGTTGCAAAGGTCGACAACAGGCTACACAATTGGTTGGAAACCCACTCCAACCCGGGCTGGCTTCGAACCTCATGACCTTAATGCAGCTGACACTCAGCCAGCTGCACCACAATCCCGGTGCACTATCACCACCTCCACCTCCATCTCCATCACCTCCATCACCATCATTTCCACCATCACCACCTCCACCATCGCCACCTCCATCTCCACCTCCACCTCCATCTCCACCACCTCCATCTCCATCATCTCCATTTCCACCATCACCACCTCCACCACCATCTCCATTTCCACCACCTCCATCTCCACCTCCACCTCCACCACCTCAATTTCCACCATCTCCATCTCCATCTTCACCATTACCATGACCACCTCCACCACCACCATCACTACTTCCACCTCCTCCATCACCATAACCATCATCTATTTTCTTTTCCTTCTCCGCCACGTCCATCTCCATGTCCTTGTGTGCCTTCGATTTGTTTATAATTTGTCACAAGATTTGCTCAGTGGCTTCCTTGCTATTGCCTTCCCCTGTGGCTGAGAGAGTGTGGCTTCCCAATGGTAACCCATGACTGAGCAAGGATTTAATTGCTGACCTCCAGAGTCATAGCGCCATTGAGTCACCATAAATTGACCTGAAGGTCCACAAACATATATGGTCCTCAGTGAGACTGGAGCCTTCCCCATTTTCTCCTCTACTTTCTTTTCAGGATATAATGCTTGGAGGCGCTTCTGCGGCCTCTCCGCTCCAAGCAATGAGGCTGAGCTTGCGGTCGTGATGCGCAACCCCAAGCTGGCCAAGAAATTCATGGACCTATACGGGACACCGGAAAACATCGACATCTGGGTTGGGAGTATGGCAGAACCCTTCGTCCCCTATGGCAGGGTTGGCCCACTCTTGGCCTGCCTCATTGGGAACCAGTTCCGAAAAGTCCGGGATGGGGACAGGTGAGCTGGGTCTAGAGAGCTCTATAAGAGCTTCATTGGGTATCCATAACTCTGAGAAGGCCTAACTCACAATGTCTCCATGGGACTGCTACGCATCTACTTTCTACCTTCTCCAACTCTGATGAAGCCTACCTCACAATGTCTCTATGGGACTCCTACCCACCTACTTTCTCCTTACTCCAACTCTGAGGAGGCCTACTTCACAATGTCTCTATGGGACCTCTGACAACCAACGTTCTCACTTCTCCAGCTCTGAGGAGACCTACCTCACAATGTCTCTATGGGACCGCTACCCATCTACTTTCTCCCTTCTCCAACTCTGATGAGGCCTACCTCACAATGTCTCTATGGGACCTCTGCCCACCTACTTTCTCCCTTCTCCAGCTTTAAGGAGGCCTACCTCACAATGTCTCTATGGGACTGGTATCCACCTACTTTCTCCCTTCTCCAGCTCTAAGGAGGCCTACCTCACAATGTTTCTATGAGACTAGTATCCACCGACTTTCTCCTTTCTCCAACTCTGAGGAGGCCTACCTCACAATATCTCTATGGAACCTCTGCCAACCTACTTTCTCCCTTCTCCAACTGATGAGGCCTACCTCACAATGTCTCTATGGGACCTCTGCCAAACTACTTTCTTCCTTCTCCAGCTCTGAGCAAGCCTACCTCACAATGTATCTATAGGGCTGCTGCCTGCTTACTTTCTCCCTTCTCCAGCTCTGAGGAGGCCTACCTCACAATATCTCTATGGGACCTCTGCCAACCTACTTTCTCCCTTCTCCAGCTCTGAGCAAGCCTACCTCACAATGTATCTATAGGGCTGCTGCCTGCTTACTTTCTCCCTTCTCCAGCTCTGAGGAGGCCTACCTCACAATATCTCTATGGGACCGCTATCTATCTACTTTCTCCTTTCTCCAGCTTTGAGGACACCTATCTCACAATGTCTCTATGGGACTGGTATCCGCCTACTTTCTCCTTTCTCCAACTCTGAGGAGGCCTACCTCACAATGTCTCTATGGGATCTCTCTACTTTGTCCCTTCTCCAGCTCTAAGGAGGCCTACCCCCACAATGTCTCTATGGGACTTCTGCCAACCTACTTTCTCCCTTCTCCAGCTCTGAGGAGACCTACCTCACAATGTCTCTATGGGACCGCTACCCATCTACTTTCTCCCTTCTCCAACTCTGATGAGGCCTACCTCACAATGTCTCTATGGGACCTCTACCCACCTACTTTCTCCCTTCTCCAGCTCTGAGGAGGCCTTTTATACAAATCTCTCCATGTCAACACTCTGGCAACATTGAGATCCTCTCTTTGTGGCTCTTTCTCTTCTCCCTCCTTTCCCCTTATATCCACGTCACCTTTCTTTCCCAGTGACATTACGGAGGGCCACTTCACCTAGCAACATACATACATACTTTGACTTTTATATGGACATATAGCGGGGTACCCCAAACGAGCATTACACTGACACCATGGATGAGTTTTCGCTAGCTTCCCAGGATGATGTATTTCTGCGTTGCCCATCGATGGCACCCAACTGAAATCCCATTGACTGATTCCTGTCCTCTGCTCCCACTTTTGCAGATTCTGGTGGGAGAGAGACGGGGTCTTCACCCCGAAGCAACGCCGGGCCCTGAGCCGCGACTCCTTCTCGCGCATCATTTGCGACAACACCCAAATCCAAGAGGTGCCCCGGGACACCTTCAAGAGGAACCACTACCCGAGCGATTTCGTCAACTGCCGGGAAGTCCAAGGGCTCGACCTCTCGGCGTGGAAAGAGTAGCGCGGAGAGCAAGAAAATGGGTGGGTGCGGGTGGGATCGGGACACCCATTGGCCATGGTCAACTTGGGTGGCTTGGCGGAGGGATCAATTCATGGAAGGAGAGGGCCTTCGGATGGCTATGGGTTCACTCATATGAATGGGAATGTCAAAAGAAGGGTCTCAAGAGGCCTTTATCCAATTCCCAATGGGTGTCTGAGCATGTACAAAGCGCTTTAGGTTCATACCTAGTCTTGTGAATGGCAATGCATGGCTTTTCTCCTCTTCTGAGACACAGCGGCACATGTCGAAAGCGGAATTGGAAGTTACTTTTCAGGGTTGCGATGAGACGGACCGGATGGCCCTTTCCAATTCCATAACTACTTCCTTATGAATTCTTTAACTACTTTGAAAAAGTTACTTTTGAGAAAACATTTTGGCCAGAATGTGAAAGCCTTTGTCTTCCCAATCTTACTTTCTCCGAGCTCAATTGGATACTTTGAGTAGCCGCTTTGATATAAATAAACACAAACATAAACAAACACATAAACATAATACATTTCCCTAAATGACGAGTGAACCATTTCCACCCAAATAAGTAACGGACACGAATCACCTTGCTTTTTAAAAAAAAGTAACTTCCCAGGTTCTGAAAAAGTAACTTCTTAAGGTAGAGTGATGATCACTTTGGATGATTTGGGGACTTTTTCCTTCCCTTTCAGCCCAATAATTATGTATTTTACTTCATGTATATACCATGTATTTGGTTTGAGGGGCTGTTTTGTATTTGCACGCTTTGTGGCACTTTTTGAAAAGGAAGTTTGGAAACACTCATGAAATAAAACAAGAAGATAAGCTTGGTGTTGTGTGTATGGAAAACAGAAAAGACCAGGATTGT